CTTTGGTGGTCTGGATCTTCCACTATGCTCTCGTTATTCGAGGTAACGTTGTACTGAAAAAGGTTCAATAGAATAAAAAAGTTCACAGACTAGGCAGTGAATGATTATTACCTCAGAGTCCTTGCACAAGTTACTGCAATGAACATTTTCTGATAAACCGGATATTGATGATGATGGGGGTGTACAGCATATCTTGGGGGATGTAGAAGATATTACCTAGAATAAATCATAAATATGGGAACTCTACCAAAAAAAACATACTTATGTTTTACCGAGTTGCAGTCACTGTGGTCGCTGTTTTGTTTAACCACAGATGACACCTTACGTGAATCAGTAATCACTGTTTCAGAAGTCTTATCTTTTTCTTCATCTCTTGGATGCTGTGTGATAGGTGATAGACCTCTGTTACAAAACCAATTTTTGCTCATATTGAAAGGCTTTCCCTGGAAAAGTTCAAATATATTGTTTTGTAATTATTCCGTTTCAACTTAGAGAAATAATACCATTCCAAAAAATAATAGATATACAATATCGACTATCTTCAGGAAGAATACAACATGCTTGTTTTTAGTGAAAAGATATTTGATAAGAGTGCTCTCAAAAATGTCAAAAAGCCAATTATATTAGAGTAATTTTTGTCATTAGCTTTTTTCCCAATGAACTGACATCCACAAGCCATTTTTTTCCGTGCAGCAATAGTATATGTTGATTGTCAAAGTAAAATACTTTATTTTTAATTGATTCTAGTAGCAATACCAGTGAATGATGTTCGAAATTTTACCAAACTCAATAATACGTAATGTGTTATCATTAAACACTATATCCATGCATTAACACTAGAAATTTTTGAGTGTACAGATACAGGAAATAGGTATGATTTCCTGTTTTCTACGCAAATGTTTGATAAAGTCAGATATGTCAAATAGATCCGATAGAAAACCTTAGGAAATTACGATTCACTCCCTCATCAACTCCTAACCCTCAAAATTTATTTGGATAATGATCAAGAGCCCCTGAATCGTCAAAAAACAAAGTTTGAGCGATTTCTATTTTTTCGTTTGTGGCCCTTTTCTCTGACGCCACTGGACCTATTTTTAAAAGCTAAAGCTTTCTTGTCCATAGCCTCGTAGCAACCTTGTGTCTAAATTTCATCAAAGTCCCAATGGTACTTTCCACGTTATAGCAGAAATGAGTATCATGGTTTTCCGTGATCTACATGTCATATAGCATCCAACAAAACATAATACCTCACTTTCAAAATATCTTGCGATTACAATACTTCCTCGACCGTTGACGTGGGAAGTAAAACATGATATCTCTGATTTGCAATTTTAGATTTAGAATTTTATCACCCCGCTACTGTACCATATAGGAAATAATCAACACAATCTCCCGTTTAAAATTATCATTGTCTACATATAAAGTCGAGCTACTTGACACCGTGAGTCAAAAGCACAGTCTGTAGTGATTTTGTATTATAATGCAAAAAACGGAATCAGTACATATACAGGTATGTACCCTAAAAAAGATGTAAAGCAGCAGCTAGAAAAAAGCCAAAATGAGCTTTGATTGAAGTATTCTATTTTTAAATTTTCAGTGATGTATGGTCACACTCAATCTACTTGACCCTGTTCTTTAACTTGAAAAAAAAAACATTGTAGCTTTACATTCAAGAATCACCTATACAAAACTAAACCAACAAGATTAGATAAAGTTTGGCGTAAAATTTATGGGGGTTGACCTTTTGAACAGCATTGTTTTATCCTTCACGCTACTCAATATTCATTGCTTTTCCATTAAATGTAAGTAATACAGTCATATTACCATCATATCCTATTAACGATTGCATAAGAGTTCAAAAAGTCATACTTACCTCAACAGTCCTTTCAGACACACTCTTGAATACACAACAGATTTGAACGTCCTTCCAGCACGATTGGTGCCAATAAAATGAATTCTCAGATCTTAGACAAACCGACAAACCCTATCCCCGGGCGCACGCGCTTTATTGACTGGAATTAAAATGATCGGGAGACCGATCTGACGTCAGACGTACGCCATTCAGCTAGTTCGGGTATTGTGGAGGACTCAGCACTGGTTTGCGTATTGAAGAGTATTCTTCATGGGAGATTGATCCACCAGTGTTTAGTTAATTCGAGTATTTTGGGAGACTCAGTGCTGGTTTCTTGTGAATCGTATGGTAGAAGAGTATTCTGCATGGAAGACCGATCTAGCAGTGTTTAGTAAATTCAAGTATTTTGGGAGACTCAGTGCTGGTTTCTTGTGAATCGTAGGGTAGAAGTGTATTTATTCTGCACGGAAGACCGATCTAGCAGGGTTTAGTAAATTCAAGTATTTTGGGAGACTCAGTGCTGTTTTTTTGTGAATCCGAAGGTATTTTGATGGACGATTGTATCATATGGCTTTTGGTTGGCGTGACTATATGGTTAAGTCTGAGCTATTAGAGAAAATCGTTGATATACGATTTTATTTCAAGATTAGGAATATTCTCATAGATAGATGGTACCAAACATGAATGGTGATTTCCTTATCCAAAGATAACGTCACATGATTGTAAGGCTCAGTATAGTGATTAGGTAATTCAAGTATTTTAGGATACTCAATGCTGTTTTTTGCGAACCGGAGGGCAGGGAAGTATTTCAACTGCTAATATCACAGATTTGGAAATTACGCGTCTAAAGCTTATCATCATTAGGATGTCGTCGATACGACATAGGCTATTGGAAAAGCAAAGTGCTCGATCTGAAAGTTCATACAACCTCCTGGACATGTAATAGAAAAAAGTATTCTTGATTGTGTGGGCTGCTCGATGATCTGATAATTTTTGCATAGGTAAGTTATAATTTACGAAACGTTGGGCATCCTTCTGTCGTATGCTAGCAACGTTTTGTATAGTCTTAATCGAGCAAATAGTGTACTCAAAGTTGCTGGAAAGAATTTTGGTTATATCCATTGGAGATCCTTGAAAAATAATATAATAATACAAGTCCAAGTTAGGAGACTTCAGTAGTATTATGTAAAGAGAAATAAATGAAACTTGGCACCACTGCACGGATGACTTATCTACTGGTGTTTAGTTAATTTGAGTATTCTGGGGGACCGAATGCCGTTTTGTGATCTGAAGGGTATTCCGGTAGAGGACACATCTTACGGTTTTTAAAAGGTAGACCTATATAGCGGACTTTATATGAAAATCCGAAATGTTAATGTACAGTTTTTTGAGCTGATCCTGGATCAGTTTGCCTTTTTGTTGGATATACACGAATCAAATTTGATATATATTCGATATTTCTGGTAGGTGACTTATTGCTGGGAATTGAAAGGATTACCGATCCACATGGAGATGTAAATATATATATATATATATATATATATATATATATATATATATATTCAAAATTCTACATACTGCCGTCTCAGTCGAAACGTTGGTAAAGTCGTAATTTGTGGTCCCATTTATTAGCTGGATAGTGTGTTCTCTAGTATTTTATGACGGTTTCCTATTAATTAGTAATAATATTCTATCGACATTTCATGAGTTCATTATCCTATACACAGATAAATACTAGACAAGCCGGTTAAGTTTTCGGTTTTTGTTATACTTCGCAAACTTAAGACAATAATATGATGGAAATCAATCAAAACGCCGTAAATGTAAATCATAAAACTCATCACTTACCTTTTTATTATTAAGAAAAATGCATCTGCAGAAACTGCCAGGACGTGTTAATGTGTTCGATTTCGAAACTGGTTACTTAGATGAGTCACATACATATAGTTAAATATAATATATAGTTCCGTAAACACTATAGAGTTGATTGAAAATAAACGTTGCTATTATATGAATCGATAAAAAACACACAAATCTTAAAATTTGAAATAACATTTTTGTAATTCAGAAAAGGAGACACTCTCGTGATAGGTATTGTTTGATGTACATTTTAGCTGGATAATGAGCCGCTTGCACGCCCCCCACCAAGAGCCGTCCGCAGATGCGAGGCGTCTAGCAAAACATTGTTGCAAAGTCTTTTTTTAAAGAAAGTGGTCTACTCCGAAACATTTTAAAACAGTCGTGCAAAAAAGTGTTTTTAGCATTTTTTATTTTTGATGTAAGTATACAGTATTTCCATCTGTGTAAAGAATTGAGATAAGAAAGAAATATGTTTAATGACTATGGTCTAAACTCTTCCAGTTTAATGTTTTAAGCAATGAATCATTAGAAAAATTGTAATAAAATTTAGGTCTGCCAGGAAATAAATAATATCGTATAAGAAATATGTTTTTTGTAGTAAATAAGTACATATTATTTGCACATACTATTATTTGTTTGGTATTTTTAAGTGAAAATCTATTGTTTAAACTTTTGCTCGGCAGATTCTGACAATAAGTCGTCTTTCTGAGAAAGTGGCCGCCACAAAATTTTCGACTGTAAATTACTGAAAAAAAAACTGAACTAGCCCTTGAAGTAACTGCGACGCAACTCCAAGGCAGCGCACCGGCAAGCATGAGTCACCCAACGGCAGGCGCGGGATTTGGCGAGTGTCATCCCGGACCCCGCCGCCACTATCAAACGATGTTTTGAATTCTTTTGGTCACGATTATATCGTTCGTGGGTTTTGTAATTAATCAATAATTTAACATATTGCGAGAGAGATATTTTAGGCACGTATATATTACTTTCATTCAACAAAAACTTTTTACTTATTTGTTAACGCGAGTAACGCCTAAAGACGGCACTGTCCCCACCCCCCTCTAAGGATATAGCCCGCTGAAATTAATTCCGCAAGTCTGTTAGCTAAACACCTTCAAGGGGGAATAGTCAGGGGTGTCGGGTGAATTAGCATTGAAAACACCACGAACGAGAGTAGTCGATGAAGGGAATTCTGCTTTACTGATCCAGATCTGTTGAATCAAATTTTCAGACCTTATTTGCAAAGGCTTGGATTCGGTCTTATATAAAAGATAAAATAAAACAACGATGTAAACAAAAACGTTTATTTCGAACTCAACCTGAGTCCTCCACTACTCAATATCATTGATTCTTCCCCACCTCAGCCGAGACTTCCTCTTCTCCAGTTTCAACCAAGAGGGTATGTACCCGTCAAAATACTGCGCATTGGGGTAAGGCAGAGGTGGTGGAGGTTCCTTGAATGGATGCACGTGTTTCATCTTCCTCATCAAAAACTCCTTGTTGATTTGCTTTGGGTCTCTGTATTTGTCCATGTACAAGTTGAAAGGCTTCCGCAATGGGAACCACTCCTGTTTTCGTACATATGGAGGAGGGAAGTCGTACTCGAAGATTGGTTCTTTCATCTCTGAAAAAATGTTCAGCATTATTCATGACATGTGTTAGAAGAAACGTGTAAGAAAGAAAAAAATGGCGTCAAGTAGGTTGACTCTGCACTTCCCTCGCAACGCTGTGATTGGTTCATGTAGGATTATGTCGGGCACACGTTAGCCTCTCCGAGCTAAGAACATGTACAACAAAGGAAATGAATGGATCAAGCGAGTCAAAATGCCCATCGTTAGGCGACACTGGTCGGTGGAAACGCGGAGCGTAGCGCAACGGTAGCCAGAGGTCAGAGTCGCGTATTTCTCTTATCATCCTAAGATTTGATGATCTGTGAAGTATGTCTAATACGTGTGTAGAATTACCGGGATTGAAAGCGTATGAATATACTAACACCAAAACCCACACCTCTCATACAACCCTCAAGTTTTAACAACTACAAAATGTTTAGCCGAAAATTATCAGAAGATTCTGAAACGTCAAAAAATGAAGTGAAATGTATTTTTTTTAATTTTTTTGGCCCCAGCTCCGCAGCCACCAGGCTAATATTTAAAAACTAAGGTTTTTTTTCTTTGGCGTATTAGTAACATTCTGTGGAAATTTCAATAAGACCCGACCGATATAGACAGGCCAAGGATTAGCGGACAGACAGACCGGACGACAGGTCGACGGAAATGCGTGACATGGATTTTCGTGATGTAGATGTCAGATTACACCATTAAACATAATATCAGGGAAGTAAAATTGCTGGTATTTCAAATGCATATGAAAATGAGCCTTTAAATCAGAGACACAGCTTAAGACCTCCCCCCCCCAGTACCCAGCACTACCTTGAAAATTATTGCCAGATGTGCATTTTCGAGCCAGTCAAGTGGCTTGTTTTCAGTTTCCTTTGTTGTACTTCCTTCAGTAAGCAAAACAATAGAGGATTGAAGGTTCTAACATTGGAACTAGGCGACACGGCGACGGTGTTGCCGCTTCCGCTGCGCCGCGTCGAATTTTACGAAGCTTCCTCGTAATTATTCCTAAAATTTCGCAACCTCAAGGCCGTCTGTCACGATACGAAATTTTGTGCTAAGCTTCGTTCAACATTTTGTGATAAATTTCGTACAAAATTAAGGATAGTGTCAGACAACATTTAGTACATAATTTTGTATGAACAAGTTTAGTGCTAAATTTTGTAGAAACTGTTATAAATAGATCATATCATACTGAAAGTGCGTAGACGACTACTGCGCATTTGGAGCAGTACAGTGGCTGATATAACCTCAAACACTTTCAGTAGTTGAAGTTATCAGTCGTGTTCATCAGTTTCGCGAAACTTCCCTGCGTATGCTGTTCTACTTATCGATTGAAAACTTAAAAGATCTCATATAATATATGCGAATTACGGGATATCTCCATTTCCTATTCGTTTAAAAATAAAGGAATACAGTAGCGGTACTAAATTTAGCCCAAAACTTCGTACCGCGACAGGCGGCCGTCAGCATTGTTCAACAATGGAAAAGAAAATCCTAAAACCTGCGGTAGCGAGAGTTAGCGAGACGATGGTCGACAGTTAGTTGTAAGTGGTTGACGCTGCTTCCAAACGTATCATTATTTCCGCCCAGGCAAAGATTTGGGGATCTTCTGGCTTTAGTATGTTAATTGTAATTTTCTTCCAGACATTTAAAACACATTAAACCCAAAATACTAGCAAAACATAATTTATCACTTATAGCACAAGCAATCAGAAATAATGTACTGATTTAATAGGATAATTGATAATAACATTGGCGCAAATTGTTCGTAGTCCATTTTTTCTATATCGTGCTTGGTTCTTCAACCACAGAAGTTACAAGAATGTACAACATATTTTCTCAATTTTTTAATCTATTTACTCTTCATTCATCTCGTATGTCTAAATTTCTTGTTTGGATCTCGAAAAAGAACGCGAGCGGTATGCGTGTGGCAGCTTTCCGTGACGTATGTCGAATACTTTCGGTCATGGAAAGTTGTCCAGCGTAACTTTTAAGTGTAATTAAATATACAACTATCAGATAGGATCCAGAAGTTAGGGTAAGTTAAGTGAATTCTTACCCAATGTTTGGTGGTAGAATTCTTTTAGTGATGTATCCCAATCTGAGTGGAAAAAGGCTAGACCTGACGGTGTAAGATCATCCTGTAACACCCTGTAGAAGTCGTAGGTAGAAAAAGTACGGTCTGGTAAGTTCAAGCTGAAAATGAAATACAATTTTAGATCTATTCAAAATAAAAATAAAGCCAGTCATGGTATGTTTTGTGACTTTGCAAAAGAACTTACCATGGTCCATTTTTTTTATATTTTGAGAAATCTACTTTTTTCTCCTGTTTATACAGTATGAAAATATGGCGATGATATCCTGTGCCTTTTGGTGGAAATGGTTGCAAATACTGTACTATTGTCTCACCTTGTTCAACATTATTTCCTGGTATGTTTCCACTGAAAAAGAGGTAATATTTTTTACTTTGTATTGATAGAGTAAAATTTGATTTAGTATAGTGTTCAGAAAATATGTAGTATTGTTTCTGTATCTATCATAGAAGTTGAATTAATTATGTTTTTTTTCTTGCTGAAACTCACATGAACCAATGCACATATTCCTTGTCCTTCTCTGTGAAGTGTCCATCAGGATTTGTTAATACCAAAGTCCACAACGAATCCTTATCACAATCATAACTTATTTTAGGTGCCCCTTTTGCTTCATTGGGTTTTATCGTATTTCCACAAAACACTGGTAGGTCAAGTTCTCCACTTTCATAAACTATGCTTAATGGAACTCTAGGATAAAAATAAGCATCTCCAAATAAGTGCTCAAATACTCCATAGTGATCAGCTATATTTTTTATAAAAATTGGGGCAGACGTGGTTGCAGAATCTTTTCGTACTTCTTCAAGATTTATTAACACTAAAATAACAAAACAAAAATTAAAAATAATGAAACACTTTGCACAACCATGGGCGCCCATATAGCAGAACTTAAGGGGGGCAGGTTAGGCTTGCAGGCCGAGCAACTACTTTGAAGCAAAGTTGCTGGCTGTTCAAAGTGGTGGAGATCTATGTAGGGATATTCTGAGGAGTAAATAAAACACACATGCGCCTCTCATTGACAAAAAAGTTACATTACAGAACCGTTCAGATTATTGTCGCAACACAGTGTATAGTAATGAAGAAAAGAAAAAATGGAGTCCGATAGATTGACTGCACTTCCTACTAAACGCCGTTATCGGTTCGTAACTGGTCACCACAAACTTGATACCCTCTGAGAAAAACTTCAGTCAAACAGGTCCATACAATTAGTCTATAGACATTCTTTGCCTGCCCTACCGGTGGTCCATTTGGCAACGTCGCCTCTCCCTCTACCTGATAGGTCTAATATGTGCCTACAACTACCGAGGTTGGGAGCGTATAAATATAATGACATCAAAAGATTGAGGTATATATTCTTCACCCCTTCACAACCCAATTCCACACATTTTTACGTTCCACGCCCACTGGTGGGGAAGTATTGTAATGAGATATTATGTTATGCTATATCCACTTCACGAAAAAACAGGTCACTCATTTCCTAATCTTATAACCATCTTTAACTTGTGAAGTACCACTCGGATTTCGACTGAATTTTCACACAATGTTACAACTATACCAAGGATGTAAAAGCCTTGTAGTTTTCAAAAATCGATCCAGAGGCGACAGAGAAGAACGAAAAAATAAAAAGCGCTCAAGCTGAGAGGGTCCTGATCATTTTCAGAAATTTTTTCGTAGAGGTTGAAATTTAGGGGTGAGGCTTTTTTTGTCGGAGGATTTAAGCTGCGCTGAACTTAATCATTTATGAATTAATGACGGCGTTGCGTAGGAAGTGCAAAGTCAACCAACTTGACGCCATTTTTTGACGTAAGTTCAATCATACCCCCCCAACTTTTTTAAATCTATGCACCCACTAGACACACTGCACACGTCATTTCCACTTGCTCTACCAATAGGGCAGGGAAATAACGTCTATGGATTAATTGTACGGACCTGTTTGATTGACTTTTTTCTAGAGTATAGTTTGTGCTGAAGATAATCATTTATAAATGATAACTTGGGAAGTGCAGAGTCAATCTACTTGACGCCATTTTTTTCAAAAATGATCAGCATCCTCTAAATCGTCAAAAAACGGAGAATTGTTTTTTGTCGTTTTTGGCGTTTTTCTCCACCTTCACTGGACGATTTTCAAAAACTACACAGCTTTTTTTGTCCTTGGCATAGAAGTGACATTGTGTAAAAAGTTCAGCAAAATCCGAGCGGTACTTCTCAAGTTATAGGCGGTTATAGGACTAGCGGACAAACAGACAGACGGAAGTGAGTAACATAGTTTTTCGTGATGTGCATGTCATATAACATCCAAAAAAATACAATATTTCATTTTCGAAAATGGTCGCGATTACAATTCACCCCCGCCAGTAGGCTTGGGAAGTAAAAACAAGTGAACTGTCACCTGGAAGACAGATAAATACAATATATTGTTATTAATTGCCAATGTACTTGAAAAACGCGACTGTGGTGTTCGAAACAGTTACTGAACCATGTGGTCTGAATTATCGGTCACACGATGGAATCCTACAACTTTAAAAATATTTACTCCATATGCACCACTTGTCCCCCTCTGATGAGCATTCATGCACACCTAAAACGCATAGTAGTGTCTTCAGATAGTTTGAATATACTCTATAATGAATATTTGAGTCTATCAAAGATCCTGCAACGCGTGGTTCGCAGAGAGATTAGGAAATTGCAAACTGACAATTTTATTCTGAGACTAAACTAATTGTGTGGACCCTAAAAGCTAAGTGATAACATACCGGTTTTACGAGGAAATTGTTTCCACAGTTTAAAAAATCATTCGCGATAAAGGTGTTTTATAAACTTTAAACAACAGAGGTCATAAAGGGGTCATAAAACCTGTAAGTTAGGACCTAGCTGATTAGGTTTTAAGGCGCTACGCAGGATACTACTGGATTTAGTTTAGTATGAAAAAAGAATTGTTTCAAGTTTCAAATTCAATTTTTTCCAAATCTCAATTCACTGCGAACTCAGCCTCAACATTCAAAGGCTTGGAAACGGCTAAGGTAGATGAAGGAGTTTGAAGAATCATATAGCAGAGTCAAAAATTCAGAACACTGCATTTGTAGACATCTCCGAAAGAGTCACTTTATTAATGTTAGTGATAAAAAATCCTTGACTGATTCAGTCCAACTGTTTGCTTCAGTTATGGCGTCAAGTAAAACATTGAAACACTCTCATCTGCACTGTAAGAAGTATATATTCCATTTTGAGGATTAAACAAAAATATTATTCAGTAAATTCTAGTCCAAGAGCTTTTGAAATTAAGAAAAATAATCCGCCACTTCTTCAATAAGTTTTGACGTGGGTTTGGCATCACCATGCCCAGCTTTCGTTGCCACTTTCAACAATAGAGGATTTTTCTGTTATTTAAGATTGCCTATGTTATGTTGCTATAAGCTTTAAAGAATGCATTGGAACAGCTCTATCATGATCTGCCGTCGTTAATAATGTCACTGGATACTTTTCATCATACTTGGGTTCTTTTATATTTTGCAGTGGTGAGTACTTGAACAAATACTCAAACTGCTCTTTCACATGTGTGCAGCCATATTCAGGAATCCAAGCATATCCAGTAGTAATTTATGAAAACGTAGCATGTCTAAAACTCCCACATCACATATTGCAGATCCAAATAACTGAGGAGCCTGATTGATACATGCTGCAACTAGCAAACCTCCATTTGACCCACCCATGATGTGAATTTTTATTTAACGAAGTACTTTGCTGCCCATTGAAAATCATCAGAAGAGTTTTGTTTATTTTTTAGACTTCCTCTAGAGTGCCATTTCTTACCATATTCTCCACCACCTCTAATGTTTGTTATAGCAAATACTCCTTCAAATTTTTTTACAAAACTTAATAGAAAAACACTGAAAGCAGGTATAAGACTGATACCAAATCCACCATATCCATACAACAGACATGGGTTTTGTCTATCTTTTGCTAGCCCTTTCTCGTGGATAACAAACATAAGCACTTCAGTATTATCTTTGCTCTTGTAAAAAACTTGCTTTGTTTAATATAAAGTAGGATCAAAATTAGCAACTTTTGTTACATCAGTCATATTTCCATCTTTAAAATCAACTTTGTGTATAACATTTGGTGTGAGAACTGGACAAAAGCTATAAAACATTTGCTGATGGTTGCATTTGCCAGAAAGAGCTGAAATTGACCCAATATCCAACTTAAAATAATGCACTTCCTTCCAGTCTCCAAATCATGTTGTTGTTGATCACATGTACCATCATCAGAAAATTTATTAGGGTCAAGAAAAACCTCTGATTTACCCTCTAGATATTTTTGTACACACATTACATCCTGATTCTGTAGTCCAGTGTTTTTAAACTGTGATGCATTGGTATAGAATACTTTGGCTAGTTCCAGTCTAGTAATGTTATTCTATATTTTATCTTTATAGAGACATCCATCTAAATATGGTTTTCTTATTGCATTTTGACCATCCATGAAAGCGTTTGTTTCCTCAAAACCAGGGTTTTCAAGTCATCTGTAAGGGTCTGCTACTTTTGTTCCAAAATAGATATCAACCACTCTTTCATCTCTCCTAGCTTTTGGATAGTTGAATGGCATTTTTGCTTTTGTATTAATAATTTGACTAGAAAACTGCATATAATTTTTATGTCCTTACTCATATTGAGTAAATGAGTTGTTAAAAAAAGTCACTCAGGTCTAAGCTTCAAGGTAATTTGACAAACTGTTTCCAAATGTCCACAAGTGTCAGATTCATTGCCAGAACTGCTTTACAGTGGTTTTTGGTTTGGGATGATATGCTCCTGAACTGCACCAAGAACAATGCATAATAACACAATGTGTATACCCTATTTCGCGAGTACCCATCACACTTTGACATCTATTGAGGTGAATAGCTGATCAGCAATGACATTTTTGTAATGTTGGCAATAATGCATAGGGTATACAGTGAGTGTAAAAAGTATTTGTACACCTGGTTTCCATAACGAAAAATACCATATCCCGCCTAATTTATTGGTGTTAGACAACCGAAAGAAAATATATATGTACATTACATTCTGCTTGATTCACTTTTATCGATGGAATCCAAAAACAAAACAGAATAGACTCTAAAAATAATAAAAAGTCACAAGAATGTGCCTGGTGGGCGCACAAAAAGTATTCGTATAGTCGTAATAATGCCGAAAAACTCGCTAGTTAGCCGCACTATCCGAACGCATGGCGACCTCGCTTATCATTCGGTAGACGATACTACTCCCTAGGTTGCTCAGTTTCAGATTCTGTGCTGTAAACATGGGCCGCAAAGGCAAAGAAACGTGTTTAGAGGAGCGAAAGTTAATTTTAAGTGCAAGTCGCTAGGTGCTATATCAAAGTTAGTGGGACAACCCCGGTCGACTGTACAAACAGTAATTGATCGGTACTGTGAAACCAAAACGTTGGTAAACAAGGCCAGGAGTGGACGACCCAAAGTTTTGAGCGAGCAGGACAAGAGAGTGATTGTACGGACAATCAAAAAGAACCCAAAAGTGAGTGCGCCGAAGATTGTAGCTGACCTGTCACAGAGGGGGACCAAGGTGTCCATCGAGACAGTGCGCAACATGTTGAGGAGCGAGGGGTATCGCGGGTGCACGCCCCGGAAGAAGCCGTGGGTTAGCAAAGTCAACAGAGCCAAGCGTATCGCCTTCTGCAAGGGGCACCTAAATGACACTGCAGAGTTCAGAAATAAGACTATTTACTCAGATGAGAGTAAATATAACATTTTTGGTTCAGATGGTAACAAAAAAGTGTGGCGTAAGAAAAATACAGATCTTTCTCCCGAGAATTTGTGTGCCACTGTAAAACACGATGGTGGATCTGTTTTAGTGTGGGGTTGCATGAGTGCTTCTGGGGTGGGTAATTTAGCTTTCATCGATGACATCATGAACCACAAGAAGTATATAGAGCTATTGAAGCAAAATTTGAAAGAAAGTGCGATTAAAATGGGTTTAGGAAATGACTACATCTTTCAGCAAGACGACCCAAAACATACCGCAACAAATATGAAGATGTGGCTGCTGTACAACACCCCCAAGCAGCTAAATACCCCACCCAATCACCGGACTTGAACCCCATAGAACATTTATGGAGTTACCTAGAGACAAAAATAAGGGAAAATTGGCAGATCTCTAACAGAGGGGATCTGAAACTGCTTTCCTGACTGAGTGGAACCGCATACCCCCTTCACTGACGTCTAGGCTGATAAGACTCCGTGCCAAAACGGTATGAGAGTGTAATGAAAGGAAAGGGGTACCCAACCAAGTACTAAATTGTTGTGATGTTCATGTATCATGTGCAAGACTGACAATTTATGACGAAAAATCACATGTGTACGAATACTCTTTTTTGCCTTCTTGGTAGATTTTTGTGAGTTGTTATTTCCTTTAGAGACTACTTTGCTTTGTTTTCGAATGACTGACCAGATTGAATAAAGAATACTTTGATGTAGATGTCTATTTTTTTGCAGATGTCTAGCAACAATAATTAGAGAGACATTGCAGTATTTCACTTAGAAATCCAAGTGTACGAATACTTTCTACACTTACTGTAAATCTAGTAAAACTTGTTTATGGAAATTTGTTTTTTGTATATAAATGAACTTTTCTAAATAAAAGAGCTGTTAGCAAGTACAAAATGAATCTGTAACATACAAAACAAAATATGGCTCTGTCTACCTGGCACTGACAGGATCTGTTAGAACTATGTTTCCTTAGCTGATATGGGGAATTTTTAAATATCAGTAGATAACCAGCTGACATTCTACTGTGAAATAGGGTATAGTGGAATGGTATTGCTGAATGCTACCGAGTTACTTCAAGTAAACTCAACAGGGCTATTGGAAAGCAGCTCTGATGTTACATAGAAATCCACTGACAGTGAATACTGATGGTATGAATTACAGTAAATATTGATCGTGTGACATTCTCCTAATGTTAAAGTAGTGTAGTCTGGTAAAGATGTACTCACACTCTTTACTTCTCGCAACTTTTTCTAATGCAGGATTTGCCTTTTGGCCTTTCAGTACCTTCAGACGCTCCTGTAACTGTTGAGACCTTGATACTTTTGGGGGAGGCAATCCTATATCTACCCGATAATGCAAGGCAGGGTCCTTATATCTACTTTCTGAAAATATGAAATATAACCTTAAAATAAGGAAAAACCAGTTTTTATTCATTTTACCTTCTAATTTTTGTTCCAAAGATTTTGCTACGCCTGGTGGTTTTCCTCTTAAATGATGTCCATGCCTCAGCGCTTCTTTAAAACATGATATTGCAGAGTTATTTAGTTTTGGATGTAAAAATGTTCGTATGGTGAGGGCCATTATTTGTTTCTGATGTTCTTACGGAAGCGACATCTATTGATCTATTCACCAAAATCTATGAGGAAGGTGAAAGGAATATTTATGACTTGGGAGGTTAAGCCACAAAACATATATACACTGAAGAAGGTTTAATTCCTTGCTATTCAATGGCAAGGGTTAAGCTAAGAAAGAAAATTGACTAGTTGAAGGTGGCGCTGCTATTATTTAGTGGATGAGGTTGGTCACATTGCACAGTAGGGACATCTTTGGAACAGAAGCGTAAGTAATATTTACGGCCACTACTAGTCGATAAGCTAGGTTACATTGTACAGTAGTGTCATCTCTTGAAGAAAAGTTTGAGTAATACTTACTGCTGTGCCTATAACTCAATCGATAAAGTAGATTACGTTATATAGTAGTTCTGTCTTGTGAAAAAAAAATGTAAGTAGCGACATACCTACTATTCCGTCGATAAGGTAGATTGCATTAGCACTTTAAGAACAGAAGTTCCATTAGAAATTGGAAGTACAGTGGTAAAAACTCAGGGTTGACCTATTGAAGGATTTTCCCTCAATTTGAGAGATTGTTACTTCCCTTGGGCGAAAAATAAAATCGTTGAGTATTTTATTCCATTTTTCACTAAGAAAAACGAGCCATTCCTCAATACAATTGTTTCTGTAGCTTTTTCTTTACTGAAAAGCACAAAACATATACACGGCTAAAAAGTGTCGAGATTGAAGGCGGGCTTATCTACTCTAGCCATTGCGTCAGAAATCTATTTCAGCCTCTGCGCATGTTTCATGTTTGCATCTCTCTCTCACCTGCAAGTGTATATTTTAATAAAGTGTGATTTGGGGGATTTTTTTAAAGTTGCAATTCTGGGGGATGTTTGTACCTGTTCTGGCAACGCCGTGAAAATTTGACTATAATTTCACAAGTATGTAAGACATATATACCCTGTTTCACGAGTATCCATCACGCTTTGACGTCTACTGAGGTAAAGAGCTGATCAGCAAGTGACATTTTTGTGTTAGTCTGCGACGTTGGCAATAATGAATCGGGTGTAAATCTAGTAAGACTTGTTTGTAGCGATTTGTTTTTTGTATGCACATGAACTTTTCTAAATAAAAGAGCTGTTAGCAAGTACAAAATGAAGCTGCGTACAAAAAACCAAAACAAATTACGGCTCTGACTACCTGATGATGACGGATCCGTCAGAATTATGTGTCTTGTGCCGATATGGGGATTTTTGAGATATTACTAGATAATTAGTTGTCATTTTACCGTGATGGATACTCGTGAAATAGGGCAAAGTTGAAGTGTTTGGTCATATCATCAGATTTGATTCTGAAGCAAAAGCTAATTCTTGAAAGAAATTGGTATGAATGGGAAACAGATAAAAAAAAACGCAACAATTATAACAAAGTGTTCAATAATACATATATATCTACATATAATATAAAATACAACAGTGAAGTTTACATTATATAACTGTGTATATATAATAGAAAAAGTTATAAAAGACAATAAGTTTCAGCAAAATAGTACTCACAACTATATTATAAATAAAGTATCAGCTATTGTTAACATTTTTGTGCATAACAATTCGAATATCATGTTCCTATAATCTTATACATAAAACGTACATTATAATGTACTTAAGCAGGATTCAAAACGTTATTAAATGCCACAAAGTCCTGATTATGACCAGTACACTGGTCATATTCAGTTTATAACCACGAAGCCATCATGAAGGTACTTCGCGGAATACAAGTATCATAAAAATGTGATTCCAAGCACGTCAGTCCAAAAACAACCAAAGCTGAACGTTCCAAAAACATTTACTTCGAATTCAGAATGAAGTCATAATCTGGCATTCCAGCTCTGTATGATTGTAAATACTTGATATGGTAGTCAGAATCGAGAATACTCTTCTTAACAGTTGGTTCTTCTGTCATTCTGCGACGCCATTCCATCTTAAAGTGAAGAGTAAGATCATAAATAGATATTTCGCTATTCTTAAAATCGGTAATAAAGATCAAGTGGAGCCTCCATTGACGGTTGCAGCCTGAATGAAGGTTCGATCAATATGTACTCATACATAAATTTTAATGTCCTTCCACTACAATCCGATAAATGATATGAAGATACGTACCAGTTTTTTGTACTTTTCTCTCTTCAAAAGATGCTGGTTTCCAAACAATTTCAGTATGTCTGCTCTTTCACACCAGGGCCAGATCATGAAGTCCAACATACCAGGTTTGTTCCCCGAGTAAAATTGAGTACCTCTACGACCTAGCTCTTTCTCAAACGTGGTTAAGCCTTCTGATATAGCCTCGTCATCATCAAGGCCGATTCTACCTACATTCATCATCACCCTGTACATTGTCGTTATTATCTAAAAAATAGGAAATAGTAATTATTCGCTAGAATGTGAAGAAAGGTGTTAAACAATAATACTGAACCTTTGTTGAAATGATGAAAATATGCGATAAGCGTTTTGTTGTCTCATTCTGGGCGCTATTACAATGAAAAATGTAGTTCTACCACGTTAATTTTGAACTAATCAACTGAAATAGGCACTTAAATGGAAAAAATATGTCACATGGATTGACTTAAGCATTTGTATATGTTCACATACATTTATTTCGAAATTTCCTAATGTACAAACTAAAAATTCTCAATACCCTAAATCTCTTTAGGTATCATTATAGACAATTATACTTGAAACAACAATCGGCTCTGACAAAAATTCTAGAGTTGCTGTTCATGTTTGTGCGACCAAAAATCATCAGAAAACTGTGAAACATACGAAAACGGGTTTGGGTCTTTGATGTAGGAATGGTCTGGATTTTTGTTTTACTCATACGAGGTCTGTAAATTAAGTAATGAGACTGGCAACGTAGCGTTCGATCTGGCAACACTGGAGTCGCCGGGCTTGGAGGGGAGACAGGGCAGCATGTGATCCGCCTTCGGTACAAGTTTGTACTATCTGCACAGAGCAACGGAAACTCTTGCTAAACTTCAGCAGGCCTCAGAAGCCCAGGTTTTTCGGTGTTTTTTGGCATTTTCAGAAGAGAGAGAGTCGAGTGAAGATGAATCACGAAGCGGAAGGCCTTCATCTTCAAGAATCGATGACAATATAGATAGAATCCGGGATCCTGTGCGTTCAGATCATCGGTTGAGAGTCAGAATGATCAGGGAAGAGTTAAATTTGACTCACACCACCATTCATCAGATCAAAAACAATTGGGTGTTGCATCACTATAATGCTCCTTGTCACACAGCAATGTCAGTAAACAAGTTTTTGGCCAGTAAAAACATTACAGTGGCTCCTCTGCCTCCTTATTCTTGTATACTTGTGATGTTTTCTCTTCCCGAAGTTGAAAAATCACCTCAAGGGAACTCATTTTGGGACAGTCGAAAACATTCAAACGGCTGTAACCGACCAGCTGAAGGCTGTTCCAGTGTCGCAGTTGCAGCACTGCTATGAGGTGAGGAAGAAACGTCTTCAGCGCTGTGTCACTTTAGAATTTAGAAGGAAGATATTTTGAGGGTGACTATATAAAATTGTAATTATATTTGAATACAAAATTTTGTAACATCACTTAATTTACAGACCTCGTACACATAGCAAATCGCTCGTAGTCTAATTTTCAACAAAATCAGTGCAGCCGTTTCCGAGACTACGAGAGTGGAATAATGTCAACAAGCATCCTCACATAAACGAGTGATGGATATAGACAAAACACCAAGAAAAGTTGCTTTTTGAAATAAGAAAATTTTTTCGATCGCAATTTCAGATCTAGGTACGTGTTTTTTTATTAGTCATAAACTGACCCTATGAGATGGAAAACACAGGATCAACCTTCTTGATGACACTTTTATATTTAGGGTAGGGCATTCTCGAGACATCAACGCTTTAACCTAGATTTGTCCTATTTATATACCAACCCTATTGAATTGCTCGATAAGAATTTTGTCCTTGGCTTTTTGCAATGGGTCCTTAGCATGTAATGGGTGTTGGTGATATTTTTCATCCAGATAATCGGCAATAATTGAACTTTCATACAAACAATCACCATTATCGAGTTCTAGGGTGGGAATTTTGCCATAGGGGTTTTTGTCGTAGATCCAGTCCGGTTTATTTGAAAGGTTTATGTTGACAACATCATATCTAAAAATAGACATAATTACGGTTATAAATAGACTGTTTATGTGTAAAATTAATGAATGAGGAAATCCGAAAAAAATGTATGCCGAAACCCGGGATCGAACCAGGGACCTTTAGATCTTCAGTCTAACGCTCTCCCAACTGAGCTATTTCGGCTGCGACATACGAAAGTCGATATGACAACATTCCTGTAGACCAATAGGCTAGGCGAAATCTTATTTTACCAACCAGTGCCAAAAATAATGATACATTGACCGCAGTAGCAGGCGACATTTGGAAAAACCAATCTTTAAAAATCGAATGTCAAAAATATTTCTTTACTTCGACAAAATTGATAACCCGAAAGAGTAGTTTATTTTTATGTTTCATATCACATGTTTATATTGTATGGGGAAGAATCGAGAATTTACGTGCCTATATACTTACGGAATTTTTTTAGCATCTAGCACTAAAACAACTCTTTGTGAATATGGACAAAAGCGATTGCTGTACAAACGCAATTTTCCAGATTTTGGTGGTGGAGGCTGTTTAGATCCTGAAAATTGAGTCAAGTAGAGTAACTCGGAACGCATCGACAAAAGTATATTTAGTAATAATAGTAGGTATACAAACATCTTGAAAATCATTGGTGATATACAGTAATGGACAAAAGTATATAGACAAATATGAATATTTACCTAAATACCTTTAGAAAACGAATTCATACGTCATTGCGTTATTAAAACTAAATTCCTTGTTTTTACATAATCTGCAAGGAAGCAGTTATTCAAAGATGGTCAACGTCAAGTCGACATTGACAAAAATTTGAAGCTGAAGCGTAAAGCAGTTTGGGCAATATTGAATAAATATAAACAAAAAGGTATCTTGGAAGCCTCCAAGAGACGTGGTAGGCCTAGAAAACTAAATGCTAGATCAGTTAGATTAATAAAAGTAATTTCGTCCAAAGATCGGTTTAAAACCCCAAGATAAATAAAAGCCGAAATTGAGACAAAAGGACTTTCCATTGTTTCTACGAAAACTATAAGTAGAAGAATAAATGATTTGAAGTTATTTGCACGTCGCCCGAGTAAGAAGCCGCTAATCTCGAGGAAAAACCGTAAGGACCGATTACAATTTGCACGGTTGCATCTTGATTGGAGCATCTGTGACTGGAACAGGGTATGTTTCAGTGACGAATCCAAGTTCAATATGTTTGGATCACATGGTGTTCAATACGTTAGACGTCCTACTGGACAAAGATTGAACCCCAAGTACACTTTGCCCACTGTCAAACATGGAGGCGGGTCTATCATGGTTTGGGGGTGCTTTTCGGGGTTTTGCGATGGGACCTTTACATAGAATAGATGGCATTATGGATATTTTGTATACACAGACATACATGTCATGTTACCCTATATGGAAGACAATATGCCCTTAAGATCAATCTTCCAGCAAGATAATGACCCGAAGCACACTTCAAATCTCGCAAAGAAATTCTTTCTCGATGAAAAAATACCAGTTCTCAAATGGCCTTCAAAGTCTCCCGATATAAACCCCATTGAAAATCTATGGGAATATTTAGATAAGCAAATACGAGATAAAAATTATTCAAACAAGGATGCACTTTTTGCCGCTTTAGAGCAAAGGTGGGGATAGATTGATGAATCTTATATCAAGAAACTTCTACAATATATGCCGAGACGATGCCAGGCGGTGATTGATAATAATGGTTATGCTACAAAATATTAACACAAACATGGTTGGTTTTCTATAATCCAATGAACTTTGCTTCTTTTTTCTATAATTGTTTTTCTTTGTCTATATATTTTTGTCCTTTATAGTTCCAGTTTTTTTCAATTAATTTTTTATTGAAGGGAGTCTAATGAATTTATTTATGTATAAGTGAGTACGAATTATGTATACAGGTTGGTGTATTAATAAAACAAGTTAAAAAAGAAATACAGCACAATACTCTTCCCATCATGTCCCATATATACTAAGTGACATATACATCCGAACACCCAGTTTAAATGGTTTTATTTTAATAAAATTTTGTATAAGTACTTAATGAAGCATAATAAGTAAATGATAAAAATTTCAAAATGATTGCACTGCTTTAAACCCCTTTGACCTTTAATAATGTGTGGATGCACCCTGATGTGCTACGCATTCTCCAACGCGCCTAGGCATGCTTCTGATCAGGTGGTCAATGTCCTCCTGTGGTATCTCATTCCAGGCAACCACCAACTCCTCTCGAAGTGCTTCTAGAGTCTGAGGAGGACGTTGCAAATTGAGCAATCTCCTACCCATCATATCCCACACGTGCTCAATTGGGGATAAGTCGGGAGATCTTGGTGGCCATGGTAACAATGTGACATTATGTTGAAAGAAGTCTATTGTGACTCTTGCAACATGTGGTCGGGTATTATCTTGTTGGAAAGTTGGATCTGCCAGGGTGTCAAGATAGGGTAAAAGATGGGGTTCTAGAACTTCGTGGATATAACGCTGCGCGTTCATGTTACCTCTGATGAAGATTAAAGGTGACCTGGAATCATAAGCTATAGCACCCCAAACCATAACTCCAACAGTGTGATGAACATGTCTTTCAACAAAAAAACTGTGGATTCCTCCTTTCACCACGTCGCCTTCTAACCCTTGCACGACCATCGTGCATGCCTAAACAAAATCGAGACTCGTCACTAAAGACAATACTGTTCCATTCCTGATCCCAGAGTGACCGTTGTCTGCACCACTCAAGGCGATTACGTCGGTGTTCTCGAGTTAAAGGGAGGACCCAGTGTGGCCGGTATGAAAACAAGCCAAAACTTCTCATTCGTCGGTAAACACTTCGCATGCCAATAGGTCTTCCGTGTTCTGCAAACCATTCATTTGCAATGGACCTGGTAGTGGAGAAACGGTCCCTTAAGGCCAATAATCTTAATCTTCACGGTCTCTTGTTCTACGGCGGCGTCCAGTGCCCCTTGCTCTTTGCGTACGGCCTTCTCGAAGCCATGCCTGACAACACCTAACTACAGTGTCTACACTTTTTTGCACTCTAACTGCAATTGCCCGAAAAGAAAGTCCAGCTTCCCGAAGTCCCACTATACGGCCCCTATCAAACTCACTAAGTTGACGAAATCGTACAGGTCTCCGTACTCTAGGCATCGTAACCGATCGTAAAGGATGTCAAGAACCAAAATCCGCCAACGTTGATTCTTTACTGCGGCTGAAATATTCATTTTTAGAGCGTTAGGGAATTAAAAAAAAGCAGTATAAAAACCGGAATGTCCAACTGATAAGGCTGAAAATTTTTTCACTTGTTATTTACAGTAAGGTAAATACATTCACCAACTTTTATTAAAATAAAACCATTTAAACTTGGTGTTCGGATTTATATGTCACTTAGTATACATATCCGATGGGGGAAAGGTCTGGAGAGCGAGGAGGCCACTGAAGCAGATTTACTACAGACGCTTCTAAAAAGTCTAAACTAACACGTGCATTGTCCTGCTGAAAAAGTGAATCTTACAATATTTCCAAAAAGGGAAGCAGATGTGGTTATAAAACTTCGTGGATATAGCGCTGGACAGTCATGCTACCTTGAACGAACATTAATCGAGACCTGCTGCGGTAAGCAATGGCACTCCATACCATAATACCCATAGTGCGCGATTAGCGATTTCTCTAAAAGAAAGTCTGGCTTCACGTAATCCGATTATTAGACCCCTCTCAAACTCGGAAAGTTCAGTGAAATTAGCGCGTCTGCGAACTCTAGACATGATAATGCAATGAAACAACAATAAAGCAAATGGAACCAACACAGAAAAATCACTGAATATTAAGTAAACATGTTCATATTGTTTGGATCCTGATATGGCAAAAAAAGCTTTTACAAAAAAGTACAGCTCGGAATGCCTTCAACATTTTATCAGCGTATACTTGATAGCATGATAGCAAATATGTCACAAGTTTTTATCAAAATTCAATAAATAATTCTGGGTGTTGCATTTTATATGTCACCAGTATATCGAATAATATACTATTTCATTCATCCTATTGTATATAAAAATACTTCATAACACATGAAGTTGCTGGTTAGCACATTCAGTCAGCACGCTTTATGAGCTTTAGCAGTTTCGAGATTAATTATCTTAGAGAGCCTTCACTTTCGGGGGTCATGACAATAGGCTTTTTTCGTTTCGATCCCTCAATTTCGAAATCCTTCGCGTTTGCAATACTTTTTTCGCCTACTGGCATATCACGTACAAACCTCAATTACGTTTGAAACTAATCGCGTATATTGACGTGGGAGGTATGAAATAATGACTGCAGTGCTTTGCAAACATGCAAGGTTCGAACCACTACGTAAACTAGCATAATGAAAATAGCAACTAGCTGTTGGTGGTCTAGTGACCAGAATAAAGGTCGTCACCTTCGAAATGGAATCGAATATGCATACTCCTGTTTTCTTCAGCTATATAAAACCTATAGTGAGGTAATCGGCCAGAAATAAAGATGACGGTATCGTATCGACCGCGGCATGGAGGAAGAGATCGTTGAGTGTAGAGCCTTACCGGTAACGTAACATATCAGCGGTGCGGCAACATTACAAAACTTGGAGAATTAGGTAAGACAGTGGCGGTACCCAAGCATTAAAAATGCTGTATCCTCTAGTGTTTGAGTTCAAAGTATTTGCCGATTAACGTAAGTTACAGGGTGGGATTTAGCGTGAATCGTCTGGGTAACGACTCAAACGTTTTCTACGCCCTATATCTTTAGACTGATTGTGGGTCAACGCTTCTTCAAGCTTTGCACAGTGATCTAGCACTAACTGTGTTGGTGTATCTTCCAGTTCATCGATATGGCATCCAGGCCTACTTCCAAAAGACGTTCACCCCCCCTCCCCACAAGCGACCATGAAGTTATCTGTTGATTTGTATGTACCAGACCTCTTTAGTATAGAAAATACTCGTATTGTCATTTTGACCTGTACTCTGAAAAAGGCTACCATAGTGGTCTAAACGTCAATAAAACGTATTTTCTAAATATGCGGTTTCTTTTGGCCAGGATTTGATGATCAGAAGACTTTCAACCTTTATTCTCGAAACAAAAATAACGAATCTCTAAGCCTGCTGTTATCTTATTTTAGACTGCGACAGCAAATAACGCGAATGTCGACGAGAGCTGTTATGACCACTAAAGTAAACCGTGGTCATTTGACTGTACTAAGTATACTGACAGTCATGACAAGTTGCTTATTTTTTTTCGATTTTCACGTGAAGCTATCCTTTAAATTTTAAAACGTTGTCATACAACTAGAAAAGGACACGCGACCACAAAACCGAATCTTCAAGCCTGCTGTTATCTTATTTTTGACAGCGACAGCAAATAACGCGAATGTCGACGAGAGCTTTCATGACCACTAAAGTGAACCGTGGTCATTTGACTGCACTAAGTATACTGACAGTCAGGACGAGTTGCGCGATTACAAAACCAGCATGTTTACAATAAAAGTCCACCTTAGCACATTGCACATACAACAAAAATCAGAAAAATAATCCAATTTATTCAGAACACTTCCTATACCTTGCATTAATTTTTATCAGTGATCTAAAACTGATATTTCTAAATTCGAACGCGCTGAATAAAAAAGATTATCTTGCGAAATCAGCCCTCCCCTATCTACATAACTAACCGAGCTTTCTTATTTGGATAACGAATAACGGAGGATTGTCTCGCTACTGCGCAAAAACGAAATAACAAACATAACGGAGCAATAAAAATCCTCTTATGCTTTCAACCCTTTACATCAAAATTAGTTGCCCACTAGTGTGAAACTATAATGTTTCAGCTACCAACTACGAATGACTCCAAAGTACGCCAATGAGAAACATACTGGACCTTGTACATGTGGTAGCTGTATTTGTCACAGGTCATATTCGTCGCTTATATACACAATTTCATCGATTATATCACTTTGTTCAGTTTGGCTTACTTTCTCTCCCAAAGCATGGCCACGAATTTAAATCAGTTTCCGTACTTTTGGTGGATTATATAAATCCGAAATTAAAATATTTCTGACAATCGTCAGTAGCTTAAAAATAGATAGTGATTACTACCGCGTACACAAAAACATAATATTTATTCAGAGTGTTGAAATACAAGGACGCGAATTACTTGATAAATTGGCTAATTAGAAGACTATTAACAAATAAACTTGTCTTAGAAGAAAATGTCGTAAATCCTCGAACTGGAGTTTAACCGGGAAAAAAAGAGGAAACGTAACATTTGGATTTTTGTAGATACTATGTCACTCTAGTCATCGCTATTAAGACACGATTACATTTAAATAAATTGCAGACACATGTGCTAGGCGCGTGTTATGCAGTTTATGGCTGCAGCTTGTTGCAATGGAAACGCGTCTAGCTCAGCACATTTGCTGCAGCATGTTGCACACTGCAGATCGTCTGGAACATGTAAACTGAAATATCTGCGGGACAAGTTGCTGCAAACGTTGCGCTTCATATCACATTTTTCTCCAACGCCTGTCAGTATGTTGCAGTCCGTTTCCACTGTTGGCACATGTCGCGACGTAAATTTGTTGTTGTTGCAAACTGAAAGTAGGTAGGTATAGGATACCTGCACCGGAAACGTGGCTATGCAAGAAATCTGTTCAAATAAAGAATACTACCAATATTCTATTAAAAAAAAGTAGTTATCAGAGAATATAGTCATTTAACATCATCTCCAATCCTAAAAATAACGCAAAAAGTCCAAGAACTAGGTACACTGAAATTTATTTTAATTCAACTATTCAAAGGTTTATCTCTGTATTTTATTGCAAAATTAGGCCCCGGATTTCGCTCTGGCCTGGTACCCATCAACCCATACAGCCGCAGGCCACGAGCTGGCTGAGGGCCCAGGGGTCCCTACATAACATGAGAGGTTCGAATCGTATTGGAATTTCGAGAATCAATATTTGAGTAGCTAGGAGTACTGGTTTGAGATCTTGAGCAAATTATAATCAAAAGATTATACTCGTAGCATTCATAATTGTTATTCACCACATACAGAGTGCATTGTAAAAAAGGAAGTCAAGAACGTTAGCTTGCAACGCAGTTTTGTTACAAAATGAATGACGTCATGCAGGTTCTTTCTATTCTAGAAAGCCATAACCCTAATAATTATGCATTTGAAGAATAGTTTCAGACTAACATAGTAGGCGTAATCGTTCAAGAAAGAGAATGTAGGTATACCTAATTTGGCTTTGGCAATAAAAAATCAACTTACCTCTAGACAAATGAGGACTGTTCATGTTTTTTGTTTCTACGGAATGTCAGCGATAGGGAAAAATGGGTCACCTAAATAACGATTCCGGCTACTTTATCGATTATTTCTTGCGAATTTTATTACATACGAGCACGACCGACGCCGATTCGAAAATACCAGTTTTGCTTTCGGCTTTTACAAACTAACAGCTGATGAATGAAATGTGTATGGGCGGTTTATTTACATATGATGTGTTACCATCTAGCGAGAATATTTGGAAATACTTAATGTAGGTCAGTACATCTTAATCCCTCAGCAGGAATCTCATTTGTATCAGCCTGCTTCAAAATTCCGTCTCTAGATGGCGGGCGATATAAGCTGACATCTAGTGAGTACTAGCTTAACTCATTAGGGTGTCAGCGCGATCTACTAGGTTAAAGTATAAGTGCAGCCCAGTGTAGGCAAAGAAGTTGTCCGCATGGCTTTAAGTAACACAGTGTTGTACTAGATGTCGCGGTAATTCAGAAGTCTCCTTTGTTATTTTATCCCATAAATTCTATTTGTTTTACTTATATGTAAGAAGGTAAAAAATAAAATATCCTTCTAATATAATTTAAGATATATTTGTAATCGGTAGATTAATAAGTCAACTACAGAAAGATTTTCCAACAAGGCCCTGTGGCGCAACGGATAACGCGTCTGACTACGGATCAGAAGATTCCAGGTTCGAATCCTGGCAGGGTCGCGACTTTTTATTATTAATTTCAGTTTTACTTTGACACGAATGAAAAGCTTTGTGTTTTGAAGCTTTTTAGTCATTTTTAGTATAGCTGAAAGACGGACCAAAATCCTCGATTTGACCAGTGACTTGTCCTCAATTATCTATTTATGTAGGTAACTCATACAGATAGAGGATGTGAAGCATCCCTTCCAGAGCCTGGATTACGGACGTGTTCCTTAGAAAAAAAAATCAGAATATTTATTTGTATATTAAGAGTGCAAAATATACTTTTTCTAGAACCGCACAAAATTATCTTTCTATACAGGGTGACTTTGAAGTTGAGTCATTAATTTTCAGATAATGATTGTAGAAGGAAGATAAACCAAAATATGTGTGTAAAAATAAAAAAAAATGTTTACCTTGTTTTATAAAGTATCCTCCCGACAAGTATTTCAGTGCGGACCTGTATTTGATCGTGAGGTCCCCTGTGAGGTCTGAAGTCACCTGATTCACGAGCCCGTTGTACTACATTAACAAAGGCACGAGAGGTTGGTTGCACTCGATTGGGAAACCGATCCGCATAAACATGTGCCATTTTTTATTTCGTTTGAGCCACGCAACAGACACTATTCACACGCGACTGACACTGACTGTATGTATAACTGAACTGAATAAAGTAAACATCGTTCCAAATTCTTTCGCTTTTTTGTTTCCGATGCGATGAACCGATAAGGTGGATTATATCCGTTGTTGCCAAACACGAGCACATGATGTTATTGAGACAGGGCGGTACTCAAACTTCCAAAGGGCTATAACTTTGTTACTTTAATTTTACCAGGAAAATGGTAAAGGAAAAAAACATTTCTTTTGATCAGATCTACTCACTGTTAAAATAAATGACTCAACTTCGAAGTCGCCCTGTATAAGTAGAACCCATGCGTATACGCCATATATTTTGATATGTGACATCGTTGCTATACGGAAGCGCTTCGTCGGTTTGACCGCAATGGGCAGCAACCGTTTCTGCTACTTTGCCGTTCTAGAATGGCAAATCTGTCATTTTCGATTGGTACTTGGAACTTTGAGTGCCGTATTAAATAAGCAATAACGCACAGGTATTTTTTAGGTAGAAGAAATCAAGTGCTTGTACAACTTTATCTTCTCCAGTCGATCTACGTATATATACCGCGTCTCCACACGGCATTAGACTCCTTCCGGTTGGCGCGTAGGACGCGTCGATTGCATTTCCGGTCCGCCAGTGAGGAGCATCCGCGTATTCTATTGGAGGAAGCGCCTCGCAACTACCCCTAACCCCCAACCTCAAGCACTGCAGGTAACCAGGCAACTAATACCAGCGGGGCCGCCCTACGATTTGAGGGTCAGGGTGCATGAGGCATGGGGTGTACTCAAGGGAGTGTTGGCAAACAAGAAGGCAGAGGCGTAGCTAGGAGGTAGAAAGTAGTTTTTAACAAATAATGTCACAGCATGTAATATCACATAGAAACGCAACTCCTGTCTACATGGAGATTTGTCTTGGTTTCATTTACCAGTACTAGTAAAGTGGACCAAAATGAAGGTTATGGTTGAAATTATTTGTAACGCGTTTGGTTTTCAAAATTTACTTTTTATTTTTTAGGATTCAGTAGAATCGGTTGGAGAAATTGACATGGAGCGATACAACACGGAACAATAGATCAAATTAGTCGTATTTTACTCTTAAAGTCCGAGATCTGCTGTGCGAAACATTTACTGTTGAGGACGGCCGAGTTCCCATGAGTACGAGAGAGAAGGGTGGTGCAATAATGGATTTTATAGGTCATATTATTTTATATATTATATTTTAAACGATGATTTTGGTATCCTCGTACTAATAAATAGTGGTTTTCTAGAAGGATTATTCAAAGACCAAAAACAAATTTCCAAGAGATTAGTAACTATGGCATTTTCTAGGAAATTTAGTTTGTACAGTTTTAATATTCTGCCTGAAATTGAGCCTATACTGGAATTTCCCAATAATTTGTGAATTATCTAACATCTTAGTTACATTAAAAAGTCTCTCGATTTCTGTAGGCTTACAGAACTCAAATTCAATGTTGGTGCAATAGGCCATTAGAACGTAATCTAATAAAGATAATTGAACAGATATGACATGAATTACAATTTTTCCATTTTTTCCCTAGCAAATTTGACCTGGTCTGAATAAATTTACCCCAAGGCGTCCAAAAACATACGAACGTAGTTTTGGTTTTGGTGGATATTCTGCTGAAACCGAAATTCTGATTTTGGGCCGAAACTGGCCGAAACCGAAAGTTCAGTCAGATACTACTCCGTGGCCTTCCTCGCTGTCGTTGCCAGGGAACGTGGTTACTCGTTGGAAGTGTGGCCGAACCCACCGAGTTTTCGGTATTTCTACCGAAATGAGACCTTATTTACCTAAATACCGAAAACGTCCTGATTAAACTGCTGTCTTGATTCGAGTCTAAAGGCCGTCGTCGGTTGGAATTTCTTCCTAACGTTTCACTAGCACGAGTGGCAAGCTTCTTCAGAGGTCCTTCCCTTTACGATGCTGGATGTAGTCTACATCAAGACAGCAGTTTATCAACTGGCCGCGAAAGCCATAACCAATTTGTCAACGTCCTGATTTTTCACAATTTTGCAGATTGTTTACCCAAACAGAGCTACAACCAAAAATAAACAACAAAAAAAATTGATTTGTGCCCCATACCAGTGATACAGAAGCCTATACTTGGGCAGTCGGGCACACGAGGGTCGTAGATTTGGATTGTCTACAGTTATGTACGTATGGTTTATTCACTGAAACAAAGCAGTTACGTCATATTTACTAAATTTGAATGCCAACCTAAATGCAAAATAGATCCTAAATTGGTACGTATAGTTTGAATTTCTCGAGTACATTTATGTTGGTGACAGTTTTCTGTGTGACATTTTCGCAAAGCTTGTCAGGGAATTACGCCAACGGCTGTTGTTTATTTGTGGTTTATTTTCATTCTTTTTGCATCAATATTTACATTGTTATTTTATAAAAGCAGATTTTCTCAAAACTCTGAGGTGGCCTTTTAAGCATTTTACTAGAATGCCGAAACCTCTGGGTCGACAAGCAAAATAATTCGTCATTTTTTTGTCGCAATATTTTGAGACCGAACGAGATCATGAGCTCCATTATTGCCTTTGCAGTCCGTAAGAGAGGTATTAGGCAGTACATAGAATTTATACTAGCTCTAGCGGTTACAAAACATACGCTCCGTAATGTTGGTTGCGGTAAGGCATCGAAGACATCAACGTCCTAGGATCTAGGAGTTTTAATTAATGTGGCAATCATGTGGAGCACTGTCATTATTTGACGTTGTGACATAACTGCTTTGATGCAGTCAATAAACTATACATCCGATATTCCTTTTTCCCTATATTGGCCCTTGTGCGTACAACAGGTACAGACTGGTAAATCATTGTTCGTGTCAACCAATATTAAATTAAATGGTGATGAGGCTTAAAGTTTAACAGTAAAACAGAAAAACATTCAGAATCTTATAAACAATAAGCAAAAAATGACAGATGTCTTTAAGGCGCCTGTGTTGTGTATGCGTGCGCAATATAAAAAAATATGTTTTCCACAGAAGACGTTGCAAGACGTAGAGTCTCTTGATCTATCGCTGATCGGATGACGGCCCTGATTTTTTGCTCCTACCGATTTTGTCCTTGAATCTACTGAATTTCAACCAAACTGTCTACCGATTTCGTCTTTTTCGGTTCGACAACACTGCTTGTGGGCGTACTCCGTCCAACGCTTTCCAACATACGTGTTGCACGCTCTTCTCGATTCTCTCTCTCATGCACATTGGAACCCGCACCACACGGGTATTATGTAAAAATCCTATAAAACGTCAAAAAAAGTAAAGTTTTTAGGATGCAAACAGTCATTACACGTTTGCTCACAAGGACCGTTGTGAGCGTCCATCTATGGAGGAAAGGCTCAACTACACGTACACGCATTGTTGGTTGCATATGTTTTGTGAAGCCGAGTGGTCTATAGTTTTCATCTCTGAGTCTCTGAGAAGAAAGTTGGTTACTTGGTTGATAGCAAGATCGCATCTGGATGATTGTGTGTATTGGTCTGCATGGGTATAAAATCAGTGAAATTTTGCTGTCTAAGAAAATCATTACTGAATATGCTTGCCAATGAAGTAAAGGGTGTCTCAGAAATATTTTCGTTTTTAGATCAGTCCTCTGGCGGAATAGGCATGCTCCGGAGAAACGAGACAGTTGACAAACGTTTGGCAACATTGTTAAATTTTAGTTGCAATGGAGCGTTTTACAGGGCCGCAACGTGCTTTTTGTGTTCGCGAGTTCTATAAAAACAAGGATTCTTATGTGCTTGTACGTCGTTTGTACAGAAATCATTATAACATAGCAAGAATGAGAGATGTCCCAAGCGCAAATTTAATTAAATATTGGGTAAGAAAGTTCGAGAGCACTGGAAACACGTATATTAGTAAACCGCCTGGTCAGCAAGATCGAA